CTTCACCAGTGCAGAAAAGTACAAATGATTAATAGATTTTAGGATAGAGACTGGACGGACGGACTGTGATTTCACTGGCATAGGGAACTCCCAGGTGAGGAAACTCCCTCTACCAATTCAGGTAGCCACTTACAGTCTTAGAGAGTTGTATAGATGAGCTGGGAATGGGGTCACATAGCCTTTGACAGAATGTGTCAGAGGTGGGATTTGAACCTAGATGTTTGGACTTTGAGACCACCTCTCTGTCCAATACAACACCCTGCCTCTGTCCTTTGAACCCTGAAACAACCCTGTGAGGTAGGTACTACAGGGATGGTCATCATCATTTACAGATAAGGAAACTTGTAAGCAAGGTGACTTGCCCAGGGTCACACAGCTGATAAGGGTCAGCGGGACCTTAGAGGTTCCACTACTCGATCGATCCCACTGTGGACGGCTTGGGGATAAGCCTCTCCAGACATGGATGTGGCCCGAGCAGGACAGAGCACGGCAGGGATGTGGGACCTCTCCTAATGTAGTGCAAGACAAGACAAGGCAAAAAGCCCCATGTCAGGGGCTGGGGCTATAAAGACAAAACAATGCCTGCCCTCAAGGAGCTTACACTCTACAACCCAAGATCCCATCAGCCTTTCTGACTGCGTTCTCACCTCTGCTCCCCCATTACTCCATTGTTTAGAATGCTCTCTGCTTCTCAGCCCTTCTCCACATCTCATCCATCCATCCGGCAGGGTCTGGCTGGAGCCTTCTCTGACCCCTCCAGCCCCGGCTAAGGAGCCTCTCTCTCCTCTGAACTCATCTGGTGCTCCCAGCTGACATTAACCTTCTCTGACTGTTCTTTATCATTTATCAGGCCCCTCTCCAGCTAGACTGGAAGCCCCTTGAGGTCAGGATCCAAGCCTAATCTGTTTGTTTTTTTTATTAATTTATTTTGTTTTATCAACAATCAGTTCCATAGCTTCTGAGTTTAAAATTTTTCTCCCCTTTCCTCCCCACCACCCTCCCCAAGACCAAGCCTATTCTTTTAATATCCCCTGTCACATCTAGCATAGATACCAGACTTAAATATTCATTGGTGATCCCACCTGGACACTAACCACCTGTGTGCCCTTGGTCAAGTCTCTTTTCTTCTCTGGGCCTCAGTTTCCTTCTCTGTGAAACGATGAGGAGGGGGTGGAATACATGATTTCTCCCAGCTCTAGAAACGGGGCCCTGTGATTATCATCTTGGGGCTCAACTGCTGGGATGAGCTTGTCTCTGTGTCTGGTCCAGTGCTCATTTGTTAAAACTCAACAAACATTTATTGGGCACCTGCTGCATGTCAGGGAAGCTTCATTCTTTTAACTCCCAGCCCCCAGCGATCTCTCCCGAGGAGGGGCCCTGCAATGACTCAAATCTACGTCGGAGGATAAACAGGTGAAGGACCTGGGCCTGTTTCACCTGGATTACAGAAGAATGGTGTGGATGCAGTTGCTGTCTCCAGCTATCAGAAGGGCTCTTAAGGAGGAGAGGGAATACACTCACCCTGCTTAGCTCCCCAAGGAAGGCCAGAGACTGGCAGGGCCGAATGCCCTCTGCAGCATCTTCTGCTGAAATCCTCCCCTTCCTTCAGGCCCAGTTCAGGTATTTCCTCTTCTCTGAAGCCCACTCCGCAGCCAAAAGTTAGCCCCTCCTCAAGCCTTCCCACACAGGACACTGCCTGGATCTCGCCTTTGCCTTTATCACATCATATCGATACCAACCCCTGTCTGTGTGGATGTCAGATCCTCCCTATTAGAATGTAAGCTCCTCAAGGGCAGGAGCTGCTAAGTTTTTTCAACTTTGTGTTCCCAGAACACATTCAGTCATTTCAGTCATGTCTGACTCTCTGCCACCCCATTTGGGGTTTTCTTGGCAGAGATACTGGCCTCGTTTGCCATTTTCTTCTCCAGCTCATTTGACAGATGAGGAAACTGAGGCAAATCTCTATTTGCAACTTGCCCAGGATCACACAGCTAGTAAGTGTCTGAGGCTGGGTTTGAACTCAGGCAGATGAGTCTTCCTGACTCCCCCCTGCTCAGTGCTCTATCCACTGTCCCACCTATCTGCCCCAGCACACAATATGCACTTAATAGATGCAAACCACCGGATTGGATTTGTGGGGAGGCAGTATGAGGGAAGTCTTTCTAAGCACCAGAACTATCCAGTGGTGGGATAGGCTGCCATGGGAGGGGATCCATTTCCCCATCACTGAAAGTATGCAAGCAGAGGCTATCTCTTGTCTGAGATATGGTAGAAGGCATTGGAGCGCTAAAGTTCCTTCTGCTCTGCGTCTCGGGGACCATCACCAGTCTGCAGTTCTACTGGGAATGAGCTATCCCCGGGGGAGGGGGCTGGTCAACAGGGTGTCCCCATCCAGTCTAGTCATCATTCTCAAAGAGAACATATGGTCTCGTTCTGTGATCGGAAGAAGAGAATCTATAATTTCCATAACAATGAAACAATGATTCACTTGATAATTTGAGTGGATTTTTATTCATTCAAATTTTAGTGATTAGAATGAATATTAATTAAGTGCCTTCTGTGAGCGGGAAACCATGTTACAGTAGGTGCTGCTGGAGGAAGGGGAAATGACAGCTTTTAGAAAAACGCAGTCCCTGCCTTCAAAAAGCTTCCACTCTAAGATGTGG